CTTTGGCAACCGCCGATATAATTGAAATTGGACGATAATTACTTAGATCACATTTGTCGCCATTTTTGAATAACGGTAAGACTTTTGTCATTTTCCAATCAGTCGGATAAATCCCCATAGAAAGCGATCTATTAAAAATTCTGGTTAACGAGGGGGAAAGAATATCAGCGGCTATTTTCAATAATCTACCTGGGATTTTATCAGGGCCGGTCGCTTTGTTAGCATTAATCGTTTTTAGCAAACAATTTACAGTGGACAAACCAATTTCCTCGAAAGAAAACACACTATGTGTGGATTGAATATAAGAAACGGGATTAACATTCGAGCTAGGTATTTTGTTCGCAAGTTTCTCTCCTATCGAGGTGAAATATGAATTAAAGGCATCCGAAATTTCAGCCGCATTAGTGATTTCATTACCGTCAAGATTGACTTTCTTGACACTGGTTACATCACTCACTTTACGACAGTTCATGAGCAACGTTCGCGTTATAACCCACAAAATAGTTCTCTGACACCTTTTAAGATCGAAATCCATCGAAAAAATATTGTTTTCCAACGATATATTCGCGTGAATAACTCAATAACGCTGAGCCCGCTTAGGCGAGCCAGCCCAGGTAGTTGCGTTTATATGAGAAATTTTCAACCCGCCTAGGCGAGATCTCCGGTCGTCAGTGGAGGCGAGATCTCGTATAAGCGGGCCAGCTTGGTTCCCATATAAACGTAAAATGAACATTACTATAAATTATATTGCGTGGCTAGAACTCGGCAAAGCGAGCTACAATTAGTTTCAAAAATGTTGGGACAGATGTATAAAAAATCATTCTAACTAACGTTCATCCCTCCCCCTTGTCTTGGAACAAAAGAAGCAAAGCAAAACCATTTATCAAGTGGTCAATTCAAGGCTATTCTCAGCTCAAGTAATCGATTATGAATAGAATTATATAGTTATTTAATTATGTACCTTTCTAATTTTAACATTTGCATGACTTGTATGTATTATAAATATATATGTGTGTAATGTAATGTATTGTTAATTAATGTAATGTAGTATATTAGTATTTATATTTTCTCAAACGGCCCCTTGAAAATCAGCTGTAGTTCGCTGAAGGGCCCACCGTTTTTAAATAAGATTAAATAATAAAATAATAATAAATAATTGTCAAAACTTGGTGTGAAGTGCTGATGTCGTTTTTGAAGATTGCTCAGTCGGAACCACAAGCAGCATATGCAGCGTTTGTGTCTGATTAACGTATTTCATGCGGACTATCCCCCATTTTGGAACGTTGCTGTACGGTCAGTAGATGACGTCATAAACCAGCATTTCCTGCCAGCTATAACCGAAGGCCAATGTTGCTCCCAAGAGTCTACCAGCTCGGTATTGGTCTTGGCATCCCTATCTTTTCTGAAGATGCGGCCAAAGAATACGAGTACTCCAAGAAAGCAGTCGAAATGTTGGCGACCAACATCCAGACGCAAACTGTGGAGTGTTGCTTTGACAGCAAGGCGTATCTTACAGTGAGAAACGTCAAACGACTACGGAACGAGCACCATCAGCAGACACGTGCAGGATTGAGGGAGATATGAACGAAGACGAGAAGAAGCGTGCAAATTGCCCAGATGAAAGGAGCATCAAACTGACTGACATCACTCCTGCTGAAAGTGGAACATTACGTGCTGAACTAATTCCACAACGCCATCCGAATGAGATACAGAACGGCCACTCAGGTATCTTCCATCTATTTGTGCCTGTGGGAAACGATCCCATGTTGACCATGCACTATCGTGTCTCAAGGGTATCCATCGACGCCATGATGAGATCCGTGATCTCTTTGAACAGCTCACGACGGAGATATCGCCTAGTACTTCCACTGACCGGTGAACAACTCCACTCGACGGGTAATAAGCAAGATGAGGCTAGGCTTGATCTGAGCAGCGGCAACTTGGCAACGTGGGCAGCGAGCATTCTTTGATGTACAGGTAACCCATCCGCCCCTTTCCTAAGGAAAGCGAAAACTCTCCATCGCCTTTTCAAGCAATGTATGAGAAACAGAGAAAACGTGCGTACGGCCAAAGAGTAGTGATCAACATGCAACATGGCATACATGGCATTCAAACACACCTTCACACCACTTGTTTTCACGCCATATGGTGGATGCAGCCGAGAGACGGAGAAGTTCATCGCTGTGTTGTCATTCTCTAAAGCAACCAAGAGGCAGACACCGATCAGCACCAACTGGGTGAGGTCGAAGCTATCCTTTGTTTTACTCCGGTCTGCTATCCTGTGTGTCCGCGGTTCATTTGCCCTGCGGAAGAAGTACCAGGTTGACACTGGGAACATTGAAATCTCTTCAGCAACCAGCCAAATAACTCTTTAAATAATTCATTATATAACATTTACTGAATTGAACTGCCATATTATAGTCATCGACTTTTTTAAACTGTAAAAAATATTTAATATTTATTACACCAAGCAAAAGCCATTATTTTACAAGTTTGTTCTAACCTACACGAAAGAAAAACTAATTAGTAAGCACTTAGAATAGTTTTTCAACTTTTGCTGCACATGTATCAGAGTGATCTTTTCTAGTATGGCGGTTCCTGTGGAGGAAGCGATTCATTTGGCGGTTCAGTTCCTGGGCCTGAATAAATGAAATTAAATGTGGTCACTAAGTTTGTGAACAAAACAAGTTAGATCAGCTAAATAAACTGTTCACCCTAGAAGTCCAGGAAGAGTGATGTTTTACCTTTATTCGCGCGGTATTGTGCAACTTTCTGCCTCAATCCACTATCGCCACGAGAAAGATAATTCAAAAGTATTAAACCGCAAAAGACTGGCTAAAATGACAGAAAAAATATTTAAGTAAACTATTCACAACGTTTTTGATAAACATGAAAATGAACGACACTCGTCGAAGTGACTTACTTTCAACAACAAGTTTATTATGGACATTCTTGAAGTGATGTTAAGGAAACTGTTTTAGTTGTTTGATTGTTGGTCAATAGATTGTACTGCCCCGTCTTGAGTTCTTAAAACATTCTTTGATGTGAAACAATAATGATGAACGCATAAGCCTTAAAAACTGTAGGGTTAGAAAAAAAGGATACCCAAAACTGAATCTAAAATGATCTTTCTTTTTGCACACATACACTACAAAATGAAAAAGAAGATATTTGATGCTATTGTAGTGTTGCAGCCTATATTTGAGGTTTTGATTGAAGAGAATGGTTCGGATATATACGGATTATTAATATAGTTGGCAGAATTATTGATTTCGGATTTTTGGCGTCCTAACTCGGCCACGTATTTTTAAGGGGCCGTTGTCAGCAATTACCACAAAATTGAATCAGAAGGAGATAAAGATGAATGTAGATCGAGACAATTTGAATTGAGAATCTTTTTACAGTGTTTTTCTAAACTTTCTGGGATGATACATAAAGCATTAAACTCAAAGTTTCAAACTATATCGTGAACTTGAGCTTTATTCTGATTAGAAAGTTTAAGCTTTTCACCGCAATCATGTGTCTAATCGTAAGAAGGGTTTATGTGTCGTAGTATCGAGCAGAAATCATACACAATCGAAATTCTAACTGGGAACAATTGAGGAAATTTAAGAAAATTTTCATCAGCTATAAGGTCCTCCAGCAGGAATCAAACCTACGCCTGTGCGATTGCCGGTGCACTGCTCTTACCACTGAGCTATGGAGGCAGCTGATGGGAGCAAGCGTAATTAGTATGTGTTTAGGATGGTAATGCCTGCGAACGGGTTGAGGGTAAATTATAATGATTTTATGGCACTTAAGATGTGAGAAAATTATCTGAAGGGTTTATGCGTCTTAATATATCGGGCAGAAATCATACACAATCGAAATTCTAACTGGAAACAGTTGCGAAAATTTTCATCAACTAATTGTTTTGAATGTGAGAAAATAAGACATTGTTTTACGACGAGCCTCTACGCCAAAAATAGCGGATTGTGCCAAACACTCTGATTGGTTGAATACGTGACCGATGTAGGTCGTGGTAAACAACATCAACAAGCAGCAAAAGTTCACAATCTCACTCACTATCATTGCTTCTAATTTCATTCTAATCATGTTATTATTATTACTGACGCAAAGTTTCCCGCTGCACAGTTTCCCGCCACAGTACAGCACGTGAGAGATTACCTGTTCCGCTGTCGCCATCATATGTTACTGCTATGATAATGATGTCATGGAGCAACGCGAATGCCATCCCAAATAAAAACTATTAAGGAAATTATGTTACTTTTCAGTATGTTTTGTCAAGTTGTAAAACGAGGATATAATGGTAATGAATTAGTTAGTTGGAACTAATTTTGAGATCTGTTACACAACAAAAAATTATCACCTGTTCAAGGTTGATAAAAACAGCATGAAACAATGTTTCGTTGCCCCCATTGTTCATGGTTGTCAACAATATTGTTCAGCATTGTTACACTTGATTTCGGGCTGGTTCAGGCTCAATATTGTTGGACTATGAGTTATGAACAATATGTGGTGGAGCAGCACAACATTGTTGCATCCTGTTTTCAACAACCTCGAACAAATGATAATTTTAAGATGTTATAGGCGTAGTAATGTTCCTTAGTTCAAGTTTTCTATTTTACCGTCAATGCCACAGCATTCTACAAGAACACAACGCTACTATACTCGAGTGTCAGGCTCTATTTTCAATTCCCATTGAAAAGATATTGTAAGAATACAATCTGACATGAGGTCTGCTTCTTGTTCCCTACCTCCTTCCACATTTAAGGAAGTGGATATAGAACCTCGGGCTACAACAAAACTCGAAACACGTTCATCGCAAATCATCGCACATCATCATCAACCTCGCAAAGCAAAGTCGTTATATTTCCGCGATAAAGACCCAGGCTTGTGAGGTTGCATTATAACAAGGCTGCTTACCAGTTCTGAAATGGCATGATCAGATTGTGCTACAACAGCACCAACTCCTACTGCTAATACAAGGAAATTACAAAACTGATATGATACTGGTAGCCAAATACACTGGTTTGCGCTTAAAGATAAAATAATTTTACTTCTTTAGTAATATACCGTAGAGTCTCGAAAGTAAGCGCCCTGCTTACTTTCGAAATAGTGGCCTCAGGGGGCGATTACTTTCGAGGGGGCGCTTACTTTCGAAGGGCGCCTACTTTCGAGTTGTTATTTTCAGCATCAGCCAAGTTTAAATCCATGCTAGAGTATATATATATATATATATATATATATATATATATATATATATATATATATATATATATATATATATATATATATATATATATATATATATATATATATATATTGTTAAGAGAGTTTCTTTATTATTGTTGTTTCTGGTCCCTTTTGCTTAGCCTCCCACTTTCGCTTTTTGAGCTATCTCGCCCGGACCTAGGCAAGTAATAGGAGGGGAGTCGGGCTGGCAGCCTATTGGTTCGGGGCTGCCGAACTTTATGGCGGGCACACGCTCAGGCATAGAGCTAAATAGCTTTCCCACCGTTAGGAACTGTCCCTAGCAGAACACCTATGTAGACTCCAATTGGTGCTCCTTATCACTGGTATACTACAGCTCCCAATCTTCCCTCCGCTCGTGTCGAGTTATCACCTTGCGCTACGTAGTACTTGCCGGCTAGCGAAGCCTGCCGCGTACCGCAGTGCAACCGTTTCTGGTCATATGATGGAGGTGTTGCTGTTGTTCCAAGATGAGTCTTCCACCAGCACCCCCTACTAACCTACCTGCTGCCATAGGTTCACCTTTTCTGTTAGGGTGCGGTCCCTTAGCCTTTGCTTTAATTGGCTTACCGCAAGGTAGCGGTTTTCAACTATGCAAGGCAGGGGCGTCAATCCCTGAGGTAATATATACCCGTCAGTCCCTGAGGTAATATATACCCGCATACCTGAAATGTATGAATGAAATGAATGGAGAGAAAACTAGAATTCCAACAAGAGAGCTGTTGGGGATTCTTGGACTTAGAGAAGGCGTATGACAAAATTAATAGAGGAATGATACCACCAGTACTGAGATTGTACAACGTCCCAGAAGAACTGATAAACATGGTGATGGCGTTGTACAGATCACCAAGTACACAAGTAAGAACATGCTTTGGTAAAACAAAAGCATTTGCAGTAAATGTAGGCTTACATCAGGGTTCAGCCCTTAGTCCACTGCTGTTCATAATAATGTTGGACTACATCAGTAAGCAGTGCCCGATGGAGAGAGGGCATAAGGTGATTTATGCTGATGACATCGCATTGGGGGCTAATAAGTCAGAGGAATTACAACAAGCAGTAGACATGTGGGACAACCAACTGGCAGTACATGGTATGAGGATGAGCAAGAAGAAAACGGAAGTACTGGAAGTCTCAAGAGGGCAACCAGTGCCAAGGCTGGAGATTACTGTGGATGGACAGCAACTGAAACAAACAACAGCCTTCAAGTACCTAGGAAGCTGGCAACATGAGAGTGGAGATTTGGACAGAGAGATTACAGGCAAGGTTGCAGGGTACAGGGAATACATGGAGGAATGTTTGCATTGTTCCTAATGCTACTATAACTTGGACACTCGAATGCAAAGTGAAATTCGTCTTCAACCGCACCAGCGCCGCAGGTTTTACAATGTCTTTCATCACGAGGTATATTTTGGTAACGGCCATATTCGATCAATAATTTGTGATTACTAATTCGGAATTTTGTGAACATCCGTCTCTGGGATGGATTTTTTATGGTAGTTAGATATTGTTCCACTTCATATTTTTTTTTAAATTTACAATAAAATGATAGTTTTGTGGAATTGGTTATTTGTTGTTTCCAATATCAAATATAGTTGTTTTTTATGTTGTCTAATATTAAATTTATTTTCTCATTTTCGATAAAATTCCCTAAATCTATTGGTTCCTCAAGTGTGGGATAATGGGCTTTAAGTGTTTTAACAATGTTAGAGTAAACGATTTTTTGCCGTTCATGTATAGATCTTTCGAGCTGTGGAAAGCTTGTTTTACTATAGACGAATCTGGTTGCTGGCATATAGATTTAATATAGTTTAGTATCCTTTTGAGCATCGGAAACAACAAAGGGAATCTACCTAATTCTCCTCTACTTGCAAAATTACTGGCTTTTCTGTTTACGCCTAGATAGAGTTTGCAGTACTTCAGGTGGGTTTTTTCTGTAGACGATTTATTCCATTTGGTAAAATCATTGTCGGTATAAGCCCCCCATACCTCTGAGTTGTATAATAATATGGGTGAGATCACACTGTCGAAAATTTTACCAGCTATTTCTGGGGGTAGAAAGTGAAAATCGATGTGTTTGCGTATTTTATGTAGAGCATGCATTGCTTTTTCACTAAGTTGTTGGTTTGCAACTGTAAATTTTGTATTAGGTGTTAAGCCGAGATAGGTATATTCATTAGTAATAGTAATCGGATTATTTCCTATGAAAAAGTTCGTGTTTGTTAGTTTGGATTTATGTTTTTGTAAAATCATTACTTTCGTTTTCTTAAGGTTTACTTCCATGAGCCACTTTTTACTCCAACTAAGGGGTTAGCATTACCATTTTGACCGTTTTTGACCACTTTTTAAAAACTTCAAAAAACGGTCAAAAAAGGCTAAAAAGCAAAGACTAACCCCTTTAAAAGCTTTAGCCATGCTTTTAAGCCATTTTTGGACACTTTTTGGAAAAGTCAAAAAGTGGCCAAAAATGGCCAAAAAGTAAAGGGGTTAGCCTTACCATTTTGACCGTTTTTGACCACTTTTTAAAAACGTCAAAACACGGTCAAAAAAGGCTAAAAAGCAAAGACTAACCCCTTTAAAGGCTTTAGCCTGGCTTTTAAGCTATTTTTGGACACTTTTTGGAACAGTCAAAAAGTGGCCAAAAATGGCCAAAAAGTAAATGGGTTACCCATAAAAAAACAAAAAAAAAACATAACTCAAAAAAAAAAAATAAAAAAAATAAAAAAAAAACAACTCTAAACAAAACATAAACATAACTGAAAAAAACATAAAAAAAACATAATATAAAAACATAACATAACTCTAAACTACAAACACTCGACTTTTTCTTGGGAGATAAACGTATTGATATTACAAACGAATACACTTATCTCGGTCTAAAACTGACTCCTAACACTAAATTTTTAGTTGCGACCCAGCAACTCAGTGAAAAGGCTATGCATGCCTTATTTAAAATACGGAATAATCTTGATTTTCAGAAACTTACACCAAAACTTGCCATAAAAATCTTTGATGGCATAGTCTCTCCAATCCCGATATCGAAGATACAATAGATATTGAAAAATTTGTTCAGGATACAAACATACACGATTTTGTAAAAACCATTAAAGATAACTACACAACATTTTGGAAAAACCAAATTAAAAACTCTAGTAAATTGTCATTCTACTCTACATTTAAAAACCACTATAACTTAGAATAATATCTAAATATTATTAAAGACCCTAATCAAAGAAGACTGTTCTCAAAATTTCGTATAAGTAATCATAAACTAGAAATTGAGTTTGGTCGTTATAGCGATGTACCTCGACAGGAGAGACTATGTAAATACTGCAATAAAATTGCAGTTGAAGATGAATTTCATTTTTCATTTGAATGTGAAAAATATGAGAATTTGCGAAATAACTCGCACAACATCCTAAAAGACTATTTCCATATGAGCATCACTGATGAATTAAAGAGAAAATTATTAAGTGATCTTATGTCTTTGAATGACCCTGTGATAACAGATCTATTTTCGGAACATATTTCGAAATGTTTTTATATCAAAGACAACAGCCCTTAAACCAGAAGTCATAAGTTTCTATATATTATATTATATAACTTTCCTTTTCCTCTTTTATATTATCCTCTTTCTAATCCTTTCTTAAATTTTGATATTTGTTCTGTCATATGATGATATATCCTTCATATTTGATATATTATACATGTATATTGTTTTTAGTTAGTTAAAGTAGTTTTTACACCAGTAACATTTATATATACTTACTATTACGCATAGCAATACCTGTAATTAGGTCATGCAAATAAAGCTTATTAATAATAATAGCCGTTTTTTAGCCGTAATAATTTGACCGTTTTTGACCACTTTTTAAAAACGTCAAAAAACGGTCAAAAAAGGCTAAAAAGCAAAGACTAACCCCTTTAGCCATGCTTTTAAGCCATTTAGCCTTTTTTGACCGTTTTTTGAAGTTTTTAAAAAGTGGTTAAAAACGGTCAAAATGGTAAGGCTAACCCCTTTACTTTTTGGCTATTTTTGGCCACTTTTTGACTTTTCCAAAAAATGTCGAAAAATGGCTTAAAAGCATGGCTAAAACCTTTAAAGGGGTTAGTCTTTGCTTTTTAGCCTTTTTTGACCGTGTTTTGACGTTTTTAAAAAGTGGTCAAAAACGGTCAAAATGTTTCAAGATGGCGGATGCCTAACACGTGCTACGATGTGCTCAATGAAAAATACCGATTTCTAAACGAATACTGATAGAGTTTGCTGGAATAATATCTTCTTAAACAAATAAAAGAATACTGAGCACATTGAAACGTTTTTTTTAGTTGCTTGAAACAGGGACTAAGATATATTATTTAGAAATATGATGACCGAAGGCGAAGTATCAACGAAAACAACCATCAACGCGTCTCTAGAGCGATACAAGATTGAAAACTTCAAAAATACGAATGCTAAGCGAGTACCTTACCAGGAAATCGACTACAATATCTACAAATCAAGTCATGTTGATTTTTCAACCACGGAAAAACGCCTTCCAATATTGATTAAGGCTCTATTCTGCCGATACCACGAAAATGGCGGAATCAGTAATACGAAAATCATCACTCGATGGCTTGAGCAAGAAAATCAAGATAATCCGTCGAAATGCGATAAAATCTCGCTCAGTTTTCACACAAAAGAGAATGAAAATGTTCTAACCATTACAGTCAATGTTACTGCTGGTCCTATTAAAGCTCAAGGTAGATTCTACAAAGAATGGGGAGCGAAGGAATTCGATCAACTGTTTGCCATGGTAAACTCACCACAGAACACGTGGAAAGTCGACAATATAAAACCCTTCGTGGAAAGCATTCTAAAGGAGGATAAGATCGACCTTCAACCACTGGAAAAACAAAACAAGCGTTGTATGAAGAAAGTACAACCCCAAACACTCCTCGTGATAAGACATTTTCCCAGATGCGATTACAACTGGCTAATATCGAAGCAGAATTTGTCTTACATAGAGAAAATACTAAACAAACAATCTCTGAACTTTCGCAGTCTATTGAAACGAAAGACAAAGAAATCGTGTCTTTAAAAAACACAGAAAAAGAGAAACAACAAATCATCAGTGATCTGACATTGAAACTATTACAAATGGAAAAAAATATAAATGCTCTTAATAAAAGATGTAAGAGAATTGAAGAGAAAAACTTTAATTTACAACAATCTGTACACAAAATCCAAAGTGAATCTTGTGCAGAAAAGTGCACATGGGCCTCAATGTCTCCACCACCACCCAACACCACTGAAGAATATAGTATCCTAACATCCAACACCTTTGATCTTCTAACTGATGATGCAGCAAATAAAGGTGATAACACAAATGAACATGTGGAGTTGGAGTCCAAAGTAAACAAGGAAGAAAATGTAGAAGATGGAGTCGAACAGAATGACAATATTCAGCAAGACCTCCCTCCCACTGTCCAACCAAACACAAGTGCACAACCCGAAACTAAAACTGACTACCAAAAGTCAATCGACGCAGAAACCATCATCATATGTGACAGCAATGGTCGATAGCTGAAACCTAAAGAAATTTGTCCTGACTCAACAACAAAATACATCCGATCCCCAACTCTCTCCCAAGCAAGGCAAAAAGTTGAATCCTTCAACTACAGTAACCCCCAAAACCTTATTATCCACTGCGGAACTAATGATATCAAACAACCCGGAAAAAACACTATAACCGAAACCCTAGAAATTGTGGATTTAGTCAAACAAAAACATCCAAACTGCAGAATTCTAGTATCCTCATTATTATCAAGAAAGGATGAACTTAACAACAAAGTACCAACGATTAATGAACAGACTTTCCACCAAAACAAAAACCACCTATATCCAGCATACAAATATATCTAGTGCTGACCTACACGACAAGAAGCACTTGAACGAAAGGGGTGTTAAAAAATTTGCGAAAAACATTAAAGCGGCTTACTTTAACACCACACCTAAAAAGAAGGAAATGAACAAAAAATATCCCCCAAGAGATATCCACAACCAAAACTTCCCACAACACATGAGAACACAACCTTTCCAATTTGGCCGCAACAACATATACCCACCGTTCACCCCCATCATACCAACACCAAGTTCACCCCCATCATACCAACATCGTATCAACACTCAACATATCAACAAAGGAACCGGACCACCTCCTCCCTCATTTCGCCAAGATAACCGAATAAACACTCTACCACCTCAACTGGTTGGCCTGATAAGACAACTCTATGGATGCCTTAGCATATAATAAACTGTAAGTCTTTAACCCATGCTATCACTATTTTATTTAATTAATATAATACTAGAACCATTCTCCTTTCAAATTCTATCATGCATAATTTTGTTATTAAACAAAAGATTGGGTTTTTTTCCCCCCAAAAGAATTACTTCCAGCATTCTCTATCAAATTATTAGATATATCTAAAATGAGCACAGGAATTTCATTTAGCACTTGGAATATTAATGGTATATTCAATAGCGTCCTTGGAGATAAAACCAAAAACAAGGACTTTATTGATTCTATTTCTAAGATCGATTTCATATTTATAACTGAAACATGGACAAACACATGTTTAAACATTCCAGGATTTGAGGCTATTATTTCTGAAACAGCCAAACCAGTTACTAACCGGGAATGCCAAAAATCAGGCGGCATTAGCCTGTTATTCAAAAGCAAATTTAAGAAATATGTAAGCATTATTAAGAATACAAAAATTTTTTTGTGGAGCAAAATCTCCAAAGAAATCCTAAACTCCGATCGGGATCTATACATGTGTGGTACATACATCCCACCTGAAAAATCAAAGTACTTCGAAAACGAAATCTAGCCCTTTTCTCATCCAAAGCAAATATACTTCTTCTTGGTGATCTAAATGCTAGAACAAGCAAACTCGAAGATTATATTTCAAGTGATGGAAGTAATCACATTCAAGACACTAGTGGTAACTCCTTTCAACCACCGCAAAGACAAAACC